ACCCAGTCAAAGGATGACAAGCAACACGCAGTCATGCCGAGTGGCACGGAAGAGCGAGTGTCTTGTCTCATTTGTGGCAATGTGACCAACAGAACACCAGGACAGTCTCGAGAAGAGGCGAAGCCACAGTGTTGGCACGCTTGGCATGCTGGTTGCGGGCGGTCTCGCGCCTGAGCACCTTGTCGAGGACACGTCGGGCCATGGGGGCATGCGCGACGGCGGCAGGGTCCTGAGCAATGGGGATGGCGTGAGCAGCAGGAGCCGCAGGAGCGTGGGCAGCAGGAGCCGCGGGGGCGTGAGCAGCAGGAGCCGCGGGGGCGTGAGCAGCAGGAGCAGCCGGGGCATGAACGACGGGAGCAGCTTGGGCGGGAGCGGCGGGAGCATGAGCGGCGGGGACGGCGGGAGCATGGGCAACAGGGGCAGCGGGCTCGGCAGGGGCGGCAGCCTCGGGCACGACCGGTGCGGCAGGCACGGCGGGAGCGGCTCCGGCAGCGTTGTTGTCGATACCAATGTAGGTACCAATGACGGCGATCTGGTTGTCGGCGCTCTGGAAGACCATGTGCATCTCCATGGCCTGGCTGGCGCCATCGTCGAGGTGCTCGCTGGGAAGATGGAAGTGAAACTGTTGCATGGTGTAGGCAACGCCGCCGACCTCCATCGTGCCGCCTTCAGCGACGACCTCGACGGTGGTGCCAAGGTTCTCGAAGAGGGTGCCGTTGGCAATGTCGGGGATCTGGAGGTTGATAGAGCTGCCGGGGATGAGCTCGAAGGTGCCTGCGGTCATGTCGATAGGTGACTGCTGGGTGCCAGTGGCGCACAGTGCGTTGGCGGTATCCAGGTTGACCCAGTTGAGAGGGCCCTGTTCACACGTGTGAGCAAGTGGCCCATGGTGAAACGGTATGGGGCGAGAGAGCATGGGTGTACTTACGATGTCGCCGGTGTAGCCGAAGGTGTTGATCGTCACGCCCTCCTCGGCGCGAGGCATCAAGTGGGTGCCATAGGCGCAAGAGCCCAGCACTTGCGTCACAGACGCGGCCATCACGAGGCCCGAAAAAACGTAGTGAACCATGTTGAAGAAGAAGAAGAAGAAGAAAGCTGTGGGAGCCCGGGTGACGAAGTTAAAAAGATTTTGTTATCAAGGTTGGACTCGGGAAAAGAAGGTTTTCGAGTGGAACAGAGACCGGCCCTGCTGAAAGAGTGAGATACAAAAAGTGTTGGAAAGAATAGAGACAGAAAAGAACAAACAGACGAGTGTCTGAAGAGACGGAAAAGGTGCGGACAGAGGATGTTGAGCGGGATGGGGAGCAAGATCATCACCATGTCTCGGCGGTTGCATACATGGTTATATACCACGACTCTGGTCCGCAGACCGCTCGTGGCCCGCGATCCTCTATGATCGACTTTCAAAAATCTAACAATAGAAATGATGGCTGCATGATGAGTTACCGAGCAGTAGATCCCGCCGGCGTTCTAAACATTGTGAAAAGAATCATGATAACCCCGTTGGCCCAAGTCAGGCCCACTTACAGGGGCACTCTGCTCAGCAGGCAAGTGCAGTGTTTCGAAGCAGCAGCCAGGAGGGCGCCCAAGAGCGGAATGAGAGGACACAAGCAAAAAGGTTGGCGTAGGGCGCTACGTGAGGGAGCGGTGGTGCAAGAACGTCGTCAAGGACGTTCTAGGTGTCGTCCGGGGTGGATGCGCCTGTGGGTTGTCGAAGAGGGTCTACCTGGGATGTGGTAGCCCGAGAGGAGACTGCCAAGACTGCCATAAAGTACTGAAACCGGGGCGACTAGGGACGAGAGATAGACTGCGTGGGGAATAAGGCCATTTTTTCTTCGGACGGTCCTCTCCAGGTCAGGACTCCCAAGGCAGCACCATCTGAGCAAGACCCCCGGCATGAACCAGACTGCCGGTATAGGCCAGCGGGCGACTCAAGTTGCGACGGCAGGTCTGTTCTGCGACGCGCTGAGGCCCGACACTCCAGCTATCGCGTGAGGGGTCAAGGGGCACAAACGCCAAGGTCCGTAACAGCCGTCTAGAGGGTTTCTCAGTTTCTCAGAGGAAGACTCTGGTGAGGCGGCCGCCACGGCGATCCTTGATGATGGGAAACAATATCGACCACCATCAGAAAAGTCGATCGAGCGAAACAAGACATGCGGCTCTGCGATACCAAGCCGGTCAGAAGCAGCCAAGAATGTCCAAGAAAAAAAAGGCGTCGATGATCCCTCGTGGTTGCGATGCAGATGGCGGCCAGGCCAAGGTTGGCTTGTCCAGGCACTTAGCAAGGCTTAAGCAGTCCGGGGGGTGGAAGGCCCCCAAAACCCCAGCCTCAAAAGCTTTCCAAGGTGGCCCCGTTTCCCGTCCGTTGGGGAGCCTGGGCGGGGCTGCCCTACAGAGACGAGAAGGAATTGCCGGGCCTGGGCCTGAGCCTGGGCCTGGGCCCTCTCTGTTCCCCTGGAGGTAGCTCGCCCCCAGGACGTGATGGCTGAAAGCTCTAACTGGAGTTCCGACCATGTGAAACGAGTGCTGAAGGCACGAAGGCTTGAAAGCCAGGCAGGCAGGCACACGGGGCTGGTTGTTTTGAGACGAGCAAACCGCGAGAGTTGCCCAAGCCGGCCTACGGCAAGGAGCACGGATCAGAAGCAGGCATGCCTGGCGCAGCAGAATGGGCTGGCTGGCTGTCGTCTCGAGTGAGAGCAGTAGGTACGGTAAGGTGGAAGAGGTCGAGACGCTTGGACTTGGACGGGGACCGACTCGGGGGCCGACTCCGGGGGAAACCCATGGGTAAGAAGGAAAAAAACAGGTGATTTCTGCAGACCCAGAGTCAGAGATGGACCCCTATGAAACAGGGAGCATCTTCTGCTGGTGGGAATCAGCAGCTCGATGACTGGCTGGCCACCATCCGAAGCCGGCCCCTGTCGAGCGCCGGCCTCCGATCCCATCCAAGCTTCGAGACGGTATCAGTCTGTGCTGTCGAATGCATGCGACGACGGAGCAGCACCTCCATGGCGTTGATTGGGTCGTGGAGCGACAGTCTTGATCGTCCGTCTCGGTCTTGAGTGTTTACTGGAGAGCCAAGATGCCATTCCGTGATGGCATGGACAATGTGCCGCATGACAACCACGACTCTTTCGGGCTGTGGCGCGTCTGGGCCAGCGCCCCAGTCGTATTGAATCAATCTCGAGGAGGGCCGCCTGGCCTCTAGTTGACTCACGATACGATGCGGTCTTCATTGAGACAAAACATGTCATCAATAGAGAAAGACATGTTGCAGCGAAGTTCAGATGCACAGCATCCGACTGGCGGTGTATGCGCGGAGCCTGTGATGGCAAGCGACGGTCGTGTTAGCCAGATCAAGTGGTGTTGTTGCTGCTGTTGGGTGTTGCATAAGTGATGGTCTGTTGCCTGTGCTGTCCCGCCAGGGATGGCGACGAAACAACCACCCTCCCCCACCGACCCGGCCGCCCCTGCCCCTGTCTTCCTTACCTTACCTCTCTCTTTCCTCGCTTCCTCACCTTACCTCCCCCTCCCTTTCTCCTGCCTACCTTAAGTGCCTCCTTACTACCTTATCCAGGCACCTACCTTAGGTACCTTAGGTACCTAGGCAAGTACCTAGGTACCCACCCCAGCATCTTCGGTACCGAAGGCCTGCCAGTTCGCACATTGGACGTGTCGGTGCTTCGGTGACTCACCGTGTTGCCTGTTACGTCCTCGGTGTAGGTCGGTGCCTGGGTATTTAGGCCGGTTGTATAGTGACGAAATGAGTTGAGTGGCAGGCAGACAGGCAACAGCGCCTCGTCAACAACGCCTCGAAGGATTCCGTGGATAGAATGACCAAGATGCCACCTTCTTGATAATACAAATAGTGAGGGTCAAAAAATCGTTCCCGGCCTTTCCCAAAGGTTATCCAGCCATTGTTGCAGATCATTCACACTTTGCGCAGACATGGTCGCCATCAAACAGATCCGAGCCTGCAATGGCCAGCTCAACGACGAGACGGTGCCGCGGACCGCCGTCTTTGTCGGTGCCACCTCTGGCATTGGGAAAGCCACGTTGCAGTCTCTGGTCAACATTGGCTCTCCCGTGAGAGCGTACATAGTTGGTCGAGCATCGACCGAATCTGCCATGAAGCCCTTTCTCGATGAACTGCGTGCCAGCAACCCCACGGCCGACCTCATCTACGTGCCCGGCGAAGTCTCGCTTCTCGCCGAGGTGAAACGCATCAGCCTCGACATCAAGTCGCGTGAGCCAACTATTGACCTGCTCTTCCTCTCCGCCGGCTATGCCCCGCTCGGGGGGTCGCATCGGTATGATGACACCTGCCTGCCTGTCTCCTCTGACCAGGAGTCATCCCCCCGTTCCCCCAGTCAGCTAACAAGCCCCCCTCTCTTCCAGACACGAGCGAGGGTTTCGAGGTCACCATGGCCCTGCAGTACTTTGGCCGCATCCTCATGACGCTCCACCTGCTGCCCAACCTTCGCGCAGCCGCGAGCCCGCGCGTCGTCAGCGTCCTCTCCGGCAACCTCCTCCACCCGTCCCTCAACGTGGACGACATGACCCTCGACAAGCCCGGCGCCTGGGGTGGCATCCGCTCGCAGACCCAGGTCGGCTCCCTGACGAACCTGGCACTCGACCGCCTCGCCGCCGATCCTGCCAACGCGAGCCTGTCCTTCACCCACGACTGGCCCGGCGCCGTCGACACAGGCAACGCCTACCGCCACTGGAAAGGCCCCAGCCTCTGGGCGCCGCTGCCCCTGACGGCGCTGCTGAAGCCCATCTACTGGATCATGGGCTACAGCTTCGACGAGACCGGACAGCGGCACCTGTACCTCGCCACGAGTGGAGACTTTGGCGGCCGGGGGCCCAAGATTGAGGGCGTCCATGCGGAGAGCACGAGCGGTCGCCGGGGAGGAGGCCTCTACCTACTCGACCACAGATGCGATGCCAAGTTCAAAAAACCCGCGTTTGAGAAGCTCAAGGACTCTGCGCAGGAGCGTGTCTGGACGAGAACGATGGAGATACTGGAGCCCTTTCTGTGAAACTGAACGGCATCTTGCGGCGCGACGAATGGCACTTCGAACGAAGACGAGTAATGACGATCAGATCATGGTCTGATCAGGACACGCAAGGAGATTAGGATACCCTCGAGCCATGGCTTGGCGAACAAGACAGACTCCAAAGAATGAACATGATACTTCACCAGCAACACGGTCGTGATGATTCGCACCCTTGCCTGTTACGCACGCATCCCTGCTCATAAGAGGAGCGCGACATCGGCTAAACTTCATTACAAATATTGCACTGCCGCGTCAAGCTGCTCCATGGAGAAGACCCGCCCGGCTCGGAACCTCTGTCGTCGGAAGACACGGTTAGCGTTCTGTTCAGTGAAGCAAGCATAAAACGCATGGACGCCGACTTCGAGGCGCAGCAAACCGAAGCACGAGTCGCCCTCTGTCAAGTTCATCCATCACTCGTTCCCCCTACCCACTGCACGCACGTACAGCACCGTCCCAACGTCTCCGCGTACGATAATGGGGCTGCCCCATTGTCCGACCGCGAGCTTATCGCCAAGAAGGTTTACCAGACGGCCAAGGCCGCACTCAAACATGACACGCCCGATAGTTCCGATCGCCGAGTCGAGGCCCGGATGCCGTCTCCGCGGATATTCGTCTTCGGCCGTCCGGTCAGGTCGGGCGTCCAAATCATAGGGTCGTCCCGACGTACCTGCGCACTTGTCCTTCAGACCTGTTTCACTGCAAGATGTTCTCAATAAATACTGAGTCGAGCTTCTGTACTAGTGCAAAAGTAAGTGTCATTCGCTGGCAAAAGAATTTCCGAACCAGGGAATCGAACCCTGAGCCTGACGGTGAGAGCGTCAAATGTTAGCCATTACACCAGTTCGGATGTTGGTTGTCTGAAGAGCGGGGTGCTCCGCACTGCTTATGTTTGCTAATCCTTTTTGGGCTGAGCTCCGATAGCGAAGGTTCACCTACATTTTCCCCAGCTTCCGTCAAATAAGGCTCCTTGCAGACCTGTTAGCTGTGGAATAACGCACAGAAACAGCAGTAGAACCTGGAGCCTTACAGTTCGAAAATTACGCCACTGGGTCTATAGCTTCGTTGATTAAAATTTGATGTGTTTCCCCCATGTTCATCAACGAAGAGACACTCTCAGGCAACACTTACCAACCTTGGACTGAATCGGGTTGTCAAGCCAGAGGAGCCCCTCTGAAAGACCACTTCAGATCACCCAGACACGTCATCTCTGTCCCAAATGTGTTTCGCCATGGCACCGGCCGGTGATCGTTCTACAGACTCGACGTTACCCCCTTGTAACATCGGCAACTGGAGAAGCAGGGGGGCACTTCGTCCCTAGTATACCAAGTGCAGTCTCGCTTGTTGGTATGTCTGGATTTTGCCGTGTTTGTCGTGAAATTCTGTACCTCGATATCAGCGATTGAGCGTTGTGTCGGACAGTTTTCGTCCCAGCGTCACACTCACACCGAACGCTTCGGTGCTGTCAAGTCAGGTCGGAGCACTTGTTGCTGCTTCCCTCGCGGGTGCCAAGCGAGCGATTTCCACATGCACTTTATGTTGCCTCCGAATTGACCGTTTCTATAGTACTCAACCCGAGACAGCCAAATCGCCTGGCGATGTCGCGACTCGAATGATGGCCCGCCACAATCGGTCTTTGGGACAATCGGTCTTTGGGTCTGGGATGCCACTTTCCCCCAGCTTAACAACATTCACTGATGTGTGACATGGCTCCGATTTTGCAGATGGAGAACGACCAGATCCTGCAAAAGATCAGCCAACCGTTAGTTCCACCAGCTAGGCAACGTTGCACCACCAGTCTCGGGACAGGTGCCTCGATATGGCTGCCGCATTGCTGCCTGCGCTTGCTGTATCACCATCGAGGCCGAGCATAGTGCAATTTACCAAAGAAATGGGAGCGTTCCGGGTACGTGTCATAGAGAGGCGGACAAGTCTTCTGGGAAGTACCGATCAGACTGGCTGACAGGCTGTTGGCTGTTGGCTGTTGGCTGTTGGCTGTGAACCGTTGCGATGGGAGCACGTATGCCTGAAGCCGAATGCGTTCAGCAAATCGTGTGGCTCGGCTATCTTTGGTGCAACACCAGTGAGCTTGTCTACTCAATGATTCTCTGCACAAAGAGTCTCTGCAGTCTCGATCGGTCAAATACTTGGTCTGATGCCCAAACTTGAATCACCTCTCACGGGGGAAGCAGGGCGCCTCGCAAGACTCGAGAACCTCAGTCAAGCCACAAAGGAGATCGATCGGCTGCTGTGCTCGAATGGTATATCAGACAAGTCGGCAGCAAGAAGCATAGTTGGGTCCCAATTCACCGACAAAGCCGACACTGACGACACATACTTGGTCAATCTGCTGGGCACATCTTCTCCCAGCTTGAGGTCGGGCTTTGCAGACACCAGAAGGGACCATCGTCGTCTGATACTTTCCAGTCAGTCAAATTCAGCCGCGGCGAGAAGGAGCAAAGGGAACCCCAGGTGCGTTGTCCTTGCCTTACTCTTGATGAGTATTTGATGGATATTTCGCTTATCAGGATCGCGGCTTCTAGCTCACGTCCAAACAAACGACTCGTATTCAAGTGATCCAGCGCCCTGCTTTCTTGCCTTTTGGCATTCTTAAGCCAGGTCCTCTCGCCGAGCAGAAGTTGTTTCCCATTTTTGATGCCACTCCTTCCTTCACACTCTCTCCCATTCAAACCTCTGCACCTTCCATTTTCCACGCCACTTGATCTTCAGTCAACCCGGCAGTCGCCACCAAAACAGCTCTGGTCGAGATAAAAATCCCAACACTCACCCTTTCCATCCACACACACAGGAGAGAGCGCAGTCCACCACTCTCAGCATCAGGGATGAGCCGCAGAAGCTGCCCCATCACCTCAACATACACAATCTAGGCTTGCCGACTACGGTCTACTCGTGAGATAACCCGATCCTCAAACTTTGTTTGCGGGCGCATTTGACCGCCTGCCTTCACCAGACCACACCGAACGTTCTGCATCATGTCGTTCTTCGCCGGAGATTCGCGCCCCTCTGAGGCTCCTCCACCTCCCCATGGCGGTCTCAAGACGACTGAGATTGGTGTCATTGTCGGGGCCGTCACTGCTGTCGTTCTTTTTATCGCCATCATCTTTGTGCGGCGTATGCATTCCATCAAGAAAGAGCAACGCCGAGCTCAAGAAGCGAACGATGTCGAGTCTGCCCATCATGCTGGCGAAGCGGCTGAACACAAGGGCGATGCCGATGATCCCTTCAGAAACGATGCTTCCTCGGGTGATAATTTACCTCAGCGTCCCAAGCCCATCAGGATGAAGCTTGCCTCGTACCTGCCAAGCACAATCACCAAGCGCCTGTTCAAAGGTACGTCGGGAGCTGGGTCCTATTGAATCTGGTCATGGTCTGACATTGATCACAGCCCATCTCGAGGCCGATACAGAAATGACTTCTCGACCCCACTAAGAGTCCTCCTAAGAGGGCTCCCTTACGTTTTAGTAGTTGTACGTCGCCAGGCCTCATCCAAGAAGCACAGAAGGGGCGCCCAGAGATACGCCAGAGAAATAATTTTGGAACGGGTTAAGGAAATCAGCACAGCTTTTCACGCTATGGCGCCACTATGGTTTGGGAAATATGGCAGGGGATGCAGGTGTTCACTCTCAGTTGGGATTGATTGCCAACCACTTTGGTCTTGTTTGCGGCCAACGGCCGAGTTTCTGGGGAATATGAGTAGTGGTGCAGCTCTTTCGATTTGTGCTTGATGATTTATTACCGGCTTACAGAACTGCGCGTTAGTAGTTCCTGCATGCTCTTTCTTCGACGAGTGCAGAGTAATAAACCTACAAGAAGCTCTGATATCGCATGACTGTGCATCACATGATGAGGAGCACTCCTGTTTGCGCCGTCCTCGAGAACAAATATCTCGCTGCACGACACACCAACACAATCAAGATGTCATGAACCAGACTGGACGCGTATCAATTAGGACGAGGCACATATTGTCCATCTATATGAAATGTAAGCACACCAGTCACGACCACACTGGCTCGAGGCCAACTCCCTTTCCATCGGCCTCAGGTCCTCATAGTGTCCCGTGTACGCATTCCCTTGTACTCCGGCATTGCGAACCTGGTCACCCACTCCGAGCGAAGAACCTGCTCAATGCTACAACGCTGCTCCGGCTTGTACGCCAGCATGGACCGCAGCATGGCAAACAGGGCCTCCTTCTCCGCCGAACCCATAGTCTCCATTCTGTATCTTCTGCGCCCTTCCTGCATCGCATCCTCAAACTGGTAGTCGAGTGTATGGACAGGACCATCATCGGCTCGGAGAGGCTCGCCATCTTCGGCAAAGTTCTCGGAGCGCGCGTCCCATTTCTCCCACCACTCATCGGGCAGCTTCCCGAGCGCTTGAACCTGCATCCACGTTACGGTGTCTTCGGTCCCGCAGAAACCCTCGAACAGCGACCGCTGCGCAAGAGTGGCCCAAACGGTGCACGCGAGGGTCCAGATGTCGCTGGGGAACGACTTTGGCTTCTCCGGCTCGAATCTGTGCTCTGGTGGGCGAGAGTGGACCGGCGTGCAGCACTCGAACCGAGGTTCTTGCGATGGGCGGTACAGCTCGCCGAAATCAGCGAGGACAATGTGGGCGTCCGCCAGCGGCAGCTTGTTGATTCTCTCCATCGGGAACCAGATGGGCAGGGTGGCGATGGAGGGGACCCCCGGCGGGATAGGCTTATTGTCGAATGTCTGCACCGGCTCGAGTTCGGGCTCTCCACAGCGCGACGAGAGCTCCTCGTCAGACCAGAGCTGGAAGTCCTGCGGCAGTCTGAACAGGACGTTGCCGAGATGAAGGTCTGGATTCCGGTTCAGTCAGTCGAGCAGAGCAGCGGCTCAGAAAAAAAGATGCCAGCACTCACCACCGTGGACAAGGCCCTTGCTGTGCAGGTATGCAACAGCGAGGATCAGTTGAGCAGCGATCGCACGTGCGACGGGCAGCATGAGAGGTGCGTACGACCCCCTGCGCTTTGCCTCGATTACGCTGCACCGTGCAACGTCAGTGACTAGGCATGCATGGGTGCCGTTAGGACCGTCGACGCAAAAAGCGTTGAGCAGTGTGGGTATCATGGCCCCCCCGTCGTTGTCGCCGTCAGCCTTGCTCAGCTTCTTCAAGAGTAGCATGGTTTCTGATTCACGCGGGCTCGCTTCCGCCGTGCAGACCTTTACAGCTACTAGTCGCTGGAGAGTATCGTCTCGAGCGAGCCAGACGGTAGAATAGCTGCCGTGGCCGAGCTTGTTGAGTACATGGTATCGACCCCCTAAATTATCGCCGATGGCCACGGGGTGGTAGCCGCCGGGACCATATCTGAAAAAAGGTTCAGCACCGTCAATGTCATGGAAAAGAACGTTGGAGTCCGAGCCAGACGTCCCGCTCCCATCGAGATATTTTGTCGCTGGTCTGCTCGTTGTGTGACTTGACGAGGGCCAGAATGAGGAGCGGAAGCCCCGATCTAGAGCTGTTGGGAGACGGAATTGATGCGAGGGAAAGCTTGGACTTCTCCGCACAGCCAAAGCAGCCCGTCTCATTCTCACTGGCAAGTTGTTGCCCGCAACATCATTTGTTTTTAAGAGCTTGCATCAGTCGGAGAGTGGCGGAAGAGAGACGCGATCAAGTTCTAGATGTGAAGGGCGCCGCTGCAGTCAATCGGGCATAAGGTAGTGAGACAGGCATCCAGGATTACACACGTGAGCACGCCTGCTACTATTGGTCACGTACCCCTGCGTCACTCCCTGCGTACAACCCCGTGCGTCCGATGATACTATACAGACCTTGTCTTGTGCAGCGCTTCACCTGGTCTGGCTTCATTGGAATATCAAAGGTAGGTACTTAGGTCTACCGCCTAGTGCCTACGGAATGGCAAATCATGGAGGAGCCCCCCCCGCCAGCGTGCTGGCCTCACGGCCGGGGCCTACCTGGGCAGTCCCTTCATCGACCCTGCGGCTGGTCATGGCATGATGTCCCTGTAGATTTCAAAGACGGCGCCAAATACTTGATTGGTTTCTCTGGATGGCTGGGCCACATGTACTTCTCCACCACTTTACCGCGCGCTCAAGATTGGTATCGTCGAGTTCAACAACGAAAGTCGGCGGACTGCTCTGCCTGGTGGAAACGTGAAATGGGCATGGCCAGGATATGTCAAGACTTGAGAGGACCGATTGTAGGAACAGGAGCCAGTGACCATCAGTCCCAAGTCGTAATCTCACGAAGAAGCCTACGGAAACGACATCTTCCCTTAGGATGCCGACAAACTCGCCTGGCAGCGCATCATGTGCTGCACCAGACTGCGGCAGGCTAAGTTCTTTGCCCAAACGCGGTACCAACTGGACTGGAAGGCGGGCAACAAGTGGATGATTGCGGTTGCAAGTGGCATGCAGAGAAATTCGTCACTGCAGGGCAAACACAGACAATAATAGCCAAAGTGGTGTATTTCGTCTGACAATCTGTCCTGACCCGCGCAAAACCTGTTCCTGTCCCTCCTCATAATCCATACCCAGAACGCCGGTCAACATGAATATCGCCAGAAAAGCCAGTTCTCAGGACAAAAAAAAAAAGGTCTACGAGTTCACACACACTCGGCAACATTCGTACGTGAGCGAAAAGCAAGAACCCCCAATGGCAAACAGCGCAAAGCCCAGGCTCAGCGCTGACCGGACCCCTTGGTGCTGTAGCGGCTCTTAAACGCCTGGCTGATGCTGAACCTGCTGCCGATGGCCCCGTCCTGCATCTTGCTGGCGAGAGCCTCCTCCAGAGCTGACTGCGTGACCGAGGCATCTGCAGGGCTTTGTTAGTTTGTGTAGTTATATGAGCTGAAGGGAGAGAATGTAGTAAGGAGAGGGAGGGAATAATAAGGAGAGAGGCAGTCCACCGACGGGCAGAAATGCAAACCACACAAGGGAGAAGAAGAGAGGCCAGCAAAAGAAGAGAGAAAACCCCGCACTCACCGTCCAGATCGCTAAAGCTGCTACCCATGCTCGGCGTGCCGTCGCTCCCCTCCCTTCGCGAGGGACTCTTCCCGCTCAGCTCCGCCGTCCTCCGAGGCGAAAGCGGGCCCGCGTGGCCCGCGCCCTGCTGCGTCCGAGACCTGTCACCTCCGCCTTGCACGGCGGCCGGTCCGGCGGCAAACGCCGGCGAGCTGGTGGCCGACGAGTCTGAAGTTTCGGAGCGGTGCGTCGCCGTGGATGTGTGTTTGCCTTTGGCTCTGCGGCGCGCGCCCGGGTCGCCGCGTAGCGTGGAGCCGAGGTCCTGGCTGCTGGGCTGTTGATGCTGCTGCTGCTGTCCGAAGGCGGGCTCTGCGTCCGTGTCCGTGTCGTCGTCGTTGTCAGCGGCGGCGCCGCCAAAGTCGCCGGCGCCGTCGCGGTGGGAGGAGGGTTTATAGTGTGGCGGACGGCGGATGATGCGGGACTGAGCTGGCAGCGAGTCGGAGTCTGAGTCGGACTCTGACGCATCGTCGTCGTCGTCGTCTTCGTCATCGTCTGCCGAACTGCCAGACTGCTTAGCGCCGCGGCGAGCAACAGGGGCAGCAGCAGCGGCCGTCGTGGTGGACTCGATGGGCAGGGAGGACAGGCGGCGGCGCTGGGCTTGGGCGGATGCGAGACGGGGGGATTGCACGGCGGTGCTGTTGGAGGCGTTGCGCGAAATGTTGGGGCGCAGGAGAGAGGTCGTGACGGGCGTGCCGGGTCCGCCGCTGTGAGGGAGGGGTGAGTCGCGACGAATGGAGAGCGCCGAGGCTGTACGCGCGTGGCCGCTGGCACTGGGATCAGTCTTGACGGCAGCGGCGGCCGTAGCCTTTCGGACTTGGGCTCGCAGCTGGGCGGCGTGTCGGTCGGTGAGGTAGGCGACCTGCTGGAGCAGGAAAGCAACGGTGACATCGAATCGTGCCGCTCTACATGGCGAAGGGTCAGCGTAGGCCGGACATCTGCTGGTCGGGACAAAGGAACCTACAGCTCATGCCCTGGACAGGTGCCGTCAGCGAGTGCACTCGATACAGGCGTGATGGATGTCAACACTTACAGTCAATCTCCGTCTGGGCCGCGCCCGAGATGATGCTCCAAAGCTCGTCATCCTTAACGGCGTCCCAGTGGATCTATGGTCCATGCATGAGCGTCCAGAAGCCAGTGAAGCAGCCCGAGCCTTGCTGCTCTAGGTACCTTGGTAACTCACAGGTGGGGGGTCGACAAACTCGCCCCGGGAAATGGGCAGCCGTATGTACACCGTAAACGTTGGCTCCGCCATCATGAATGCTGATCTATTGTCATTCTGCGCTGTCGGGGCCAGCAAGTTTCGAAGAGGGCAGCTCTGCTCCTTGGGTCATGGAGGATGGCAAGTCGTTCGAGTGCTCGCTGCGGCGGATGACGGCGGAGGGAGCTCGCCTTATCGGAGCTGCGGAAACCGATAAGACACGAGGCAATGCAGCAGGGTGCGCTAGCGTCCATGCCGCCGTGTCGGTGACAGCACACCGAGCCAGAGTCCGTACGGCTGGCTTTCTTCGCCAATATTCCCTTGTGTTACGACAATACTCAACCCCCCCCTTGAGACAAATCCAAGACAAGCCAACCGACAGAAGCATGGTGCTTTTCAGCACCCGACCAAGGTTCCCGACCATGACAACGGCAACACCAAGACACCTCGTGGGCTTTTGATTCCTCAGCTGAGATGCAGGTTTGTGCCACGCTAAGCCCCTGGTCAATCCACACCACGCACGAAAGCCAGACGTCTCGGATGCTGGTACGTACGTCTAGGCCCAGACTTTCAAACGCATGTTAGATTACACAATTCAGTTTTATGCTGAGTTGATCTATATACGTGTACAAGATAGGCTACAGTAGGCAAGTTGCGATCGGACCAATCGATGGTCCCCGGTTGCTGGCGGTATCGCCTCATGCCCTGTATGGAGCTAGGATCTAAGAGCAACCCTAGGAGACTTTCCCATCATCCAGACCCGGTCGATGCGCAACTACCTGAAGAAAATAAAATGAACGCCTGATATGCAACTTGACCTGGCCGGCCCATGTAATGCTCCTCCCGTTTGGAGAACACGTCTGGACGAAACGAGTGTTCCATTACCAACAAACTTGATGCAAGATGTAAAATGTAGCATGGTGCCCATTGTGAGGGATTACTGTATTGCTTTCTCTTCGCTCGGCCATTTCCAACCGCCCTTAGCTTATCGTGCTTGAGAGCATACTCTTCCTGCTCAACCGATTTGAATCCCGCTGGCCGGCTTCTGACACTGGTGTGGCCCAACCGCTGCCACCGCTTCCACTTCCTCCGCTCATCTCCCGCTGAATGACGTTCGCGTTCTTGTCGCCGGTCGCTCCGTCATCCAGCGCTCGCCGGCTGTTCGTCAGGCCCTTTTGCATGGGCACGGGTGTTGGAACCTCGCTGTTCCTCAACGAGTCCAGATCGCTCCGTGACCGCTGGCCGATCGGCCCGCCCTTCTCGTCTACGTCGTCTCGGTTCCGTCGATGCACGAATGTCATGAGGCCGGCGCCTCCGGCCAGGGCACTTCGGAAGTCCAAGAATCGCTCCTTAATCGTCTTGTCCGAGGTCTCGTCCCGGAGGAGCCAGAAGAAGCCGGCAAGTAAGGCAACCACCAAGACGATCGTTACGATCGCCGCACCCGCCCTGTCGCCTCCCTTGATCGGCGTTGTTCTGTTGGAACCGGGTTCTGACCGCCCAATGTCCTCTCCGCCACCTGCCGCATCGCCAGTACTAGTTCCGCCCGAATTGGCCGTCACAGGGTCAGGTCGCGAGGCTACAATGTTGCTAAGAGCGGCTTGCATAGCCATCATCTGCGGCCCGACACCCTGCAGACCGTCCCACTTGCCCTTCTCGGTCCACTTGAGTCCGCACATGCGGCCGTTGTCGCCGCCAACACAAGTCGAGGCGGCGGCGATGGATGAGGCTCGAAGCTTAGGCATGATGTAGTCGGTCAGATGCGGTGCCCACTTGGTGGTGGCGGCGAGCCAACGGGTCAGATATGTCTTGAATGATTGCTGATCATTGTTGCAGAGTTCGACCGTCTCGCAGGCCACTTCTTGCATGATGTCGCGGTTGTCGCCGACGAAGAAGACATCAGTAGCGTTGACGAGGCTGTCGAGCCTTTCCTTCCATTCGTCTGAGCCGGTGAGGTTGTACATGGCAGAAGCGCCGTTGATGAAAACGCCGACGTTGTAGGACCACTGGTACGGCACAATGTTGGTACAGTTGGTCGGGATGTGAGCGCCGTCAAACACGGAGTAGTTGTCGTCGATAAAGCCCACGGCCTTGGTCCAATCCCACGTTTTCTCGGCCCAATCGGCATAAGATGAGTTGCCGGTGTAAAGAGCGAGGCGAGCGGCGAGCGCGAAGAAACAGCCCTGCGAAATGGTGTTCTTGTAGTCGAATCCCTTGTTCCAGTTGAAGATTTGCCATCGTAGGCCACCGCCACAGTGGCCCGGGTCCCAGCGCGCGGCCTGGGTGTTGAAGACGGCCTGGGCGAGGCCGAGGTAGCCAGGCTGGTCCTCGGGAGGATCGGGAAACCGCTGTTCGGCGGCGGACATGACGGCGAGTCCCCAGAAGCCTTGGTCGTCGTTTCCTTCAGTGAGTGTCTGGTTGTCGGGCATGTAGTCGTTGAACTCTCCGACCTGATGCATGAGTGCCTGCACCACCTTATCGTTCCATGTGTCGTCGCCCGTGTAGTACCAGTAGTCAATCATGGTGCCCATAAGCGCACCAGCCTCCCACCCTGCACACAAGAAAAACGCCGTTAGAATTGTGACCGACGAGACATGCACAGTCGCGGCAACCTACAGTAGTATGGCGGGTCGGGCAGCAAGCCTGGTGTCTGCCCAGGCTCGTCGCCACGATAGATCTCCATCGTGTCTTCTGCTATTGACCTCGCAATTGTCTTGACGGAATCTATCCATCGTCAGCAGACGACAACAAAGAAATGACGACGATCAGTGGTCCATGCTCACCTTCGGAATCAGGATCCAGGTCATAAGCCGATGAGACGCGGGTGAGGGCGAAGAGAACGATTGTGAAGACCCGGCCAAGTTGGCCAATTGGTCTGCCCCGCAATGCCGTCATGACGTCTGAATGTGAGGAGTGCGCAGGTGTTTGTGTGTAAGACAGACTGAGAGCGAGAGGTCTGCAGGGAGTGTGCAGGAGGGCTGATAAATTAAGAGGGATTGGGGTCGAGAAAGGCCCTCGGCGACAACGATATTACAACTGCATAGAGAAACGAGAGACTATGTTGAGGGAAGGCGAACCGGGAGGGGGGAGGGGGGGGAGGAAAAGAGACCGTGGCGGCGAGGCGTGTAAGGAGGGGGATGGAGGTGAAGGGATCGAAGATCAAGAAGAACGAACGAACGGCCGAACAAGAATAAGACGAACGACGCATGAGGTGTTATTAGAATCCGGGGGTGTGGTGGCACCCCAAGCCAGAAACCAGAAAAGAATGACCAAAGTCGCAGCGCCGGCGCGGCCGTGTTGTGGCCGGGGTGTGTCTAATGGAGCTGGCGGCGGCAGGTGGGAACGGTCGCTATGCAGGCCCCCAGCTTACTGACTCTGCGTTTTCGCTGGGCGCTGACCTGTTCGTGTGCGGCTAGGGAAGGTCGCCAAGACGGGGCTACGTACGAGCACAATGGCCACCCTGGACCCGGATGGGCGGAGTTGCGCGTGGGTTCGTGTTATCCCCCCTTGTCGATCGATGATGGAGTGATGAGCAGATGGGCAAACAGTTCCCGCTCTCGTCTTTGGGTCGTGGTAATGATGGTCCCAAAATTGGAGCCCTTTTTAGCCTTGGTGCAAGGTGGAAGAGGCGCCGGACCGGCTACTGCTGGCCGCCGTTCGAGTCAAGTGGATAGTCACCCAGTGGGTTCTGGTGCTGGTGCGGGTGCGGGTGCTCGACGGGCTGGAATCTAACCAGAAACCAGGTGGGGATGAGGAGCTTTCTCGCTTTCCAGGCCAGGGGATGATGGCCTTTCTGGGCGTCGTTGGGAAATCCCAGGTGGTGTGGGTTGTGGTGTTGGGCTTTGCCAATGGGGCAGTACCCGTGAGGGAAAGCGTCGACCTAAGCTCAAAGCGTGAGGCAAGAATACGAGCTAGAAGCACCGGAGTGTCGGGCAGAGGCGGCTCGGCAGCTCCAGGCAGCGACAATATTAGGGGCAGGATCAATGACCAAACGACCCCACCACATACGACGCCGGTGGACGTGATTTGGGATCGGGGAAAGGGCTTTGGAATGAGGGAGAATGGGGTCATGGCAAAACAGAGGATTTGAAGCAACGGCCGCTAATCAACACAGGATTTCCCTTTTTAAGCGAGTGCTACCTTTCCCAGGAACAGACAAACAAAACAAACTGTTGATGAAACGGAGGGCATCTCTCGACGACTGCCTTTTACCCTCCTATGTGCCTAAGGTAACTTGAGGGGGAAATTACGACAGGACTTGGGTACTGCCGCTTCTGGACAGGATTCCATCGTTTTAGGAATCAGCGAGAAAGAGCATGGGCCATTAGGGGCTCAGGGAAGGCTAGAGGGAGGGAACAGGCGTGGTTGCGGCTGCGTCAGCGCCATCGAGCGGAATACGAACGACTGTAAATTGGGGGGGGCCGTGGGGAAACCTTTAACAAAAAGGGGGGGGGGGGGGGGGGGGGGGGTGGTGGTGGGCAGGTACGATCGGGTCCGTGGAAGTCCACCCGACAACGCTCCAAAGACGACGTGACTCTGGGGAAAGAAAGCAAGCGTGACAAGCCAATCCCAGCAGCCCTGTACAAACATTGTCTTCAGATGACACACACATGAGCGTACCTAGCCAAGTCAGCAGTATCTTTCTCTGCATGCGCTGGCCGGGAAGCAGCGGTTGCGACCACGGACGATCGCGAGGAGCGGGAGGTCTGTGCCGGCTCAAGGCAAACCAGGGTTCGTTCGGAGTGGCATTTGACGTTCACGGCGGCCCCGCGAACTTCTCCCTCCTATCCCATGTGGTCTGTTGATCCGGCCGCTTTCCATCCGCCAAATAGGTCTTCTCAGCAGCAATATTGACTGTTGAGTCGAATTCGTCATGTAAGTCCTTCGTTGTCTTCAAATCTGTCTCAGATGCGTGCTGCAGTCATGTTGCAAGCGGGTTGTGGGGGATGGGGGAGGACTTCATAAACCAGGAGATGAGAACGTAAGAAGCGGAATGCCAGATTTAGCAATTGTTGAAAGGCCATCTAAATTCCTGATTCAATAGTCGATAAGCCACCCTTGAATGAAGATTAGCTACATAGTACTACTGCTGCCTTTGACAGCCGACACGGACCTAACAGGAGCAATAAAGGTTGCATGACCACGTCATGGGTTCTGGTTCGGGCAGGTAGGTAGGTGCCTCGCCAAGCTCGCGAGAGAGACCTTCAGCATCATGTGCAAGCCAGACTCACAAAGATACATGGAGGCGCAGTGCCTCACGTGACTCTCGCACCCAGCCACCCTGGGGTACGTATCCCCTTACACTGGGTCGGGAAACAGGGACAGCAACCGTGGCCGTGCAACACACCTCAGGCTATGTTTCGGGCCTGTCGCCTCTTGGTTTGAGCGTCTCACCCAGCTGTTCCGCCCGTTCCCCCAACCATCTTCTTGCAACTCCTCGTCTCCATCTCCCTTCCTGCCACCTTCACCTCAATCCGTCAAAACGAACCGTCAATCCCGCACTCACCTCCACACAACCACAACAATCAGTCTACATCAGTAAACGCTTGATCGTGACTCCCCGACAACACTCGCGCCTTTCTATCAAATCATCTTGCCCGACAGGCTTGCGTCTTCAAACGAGATCACCCCAGCGACCGCACACCAACCACCACCATGCCCGAGGACGCTCCCTACGACCCCTACATCCCCAGCGGCCAGGCCGGCGCTGCTTCTCATGGAGCCGAGTCACAGCAGGGCGGCAATGCGCGCACCCAGGCGCTGCAAGCGGTAAGTTGCACTTGCGTTTCCTTGAGTGACGTCGTCGGTGGTTTTGATCTGGCCTCCTGCGCGGCAACGAATCGTCCCACGGGCGACCGACGACCCTGCTTTGCGATTTGCCCGGACGATACGGCGCCTGCTCACTTGGCGACAAACGAAATGGCAAACTTCCGGCGCGTCCGCCTCGCAGCGCAGCATGTTTGCTTTTGCAAAACGACCATGGGAGCTCCGAAGCTCGTCCCCCCAACCACCGGGTGGTGCGGCTTGGCAGAAGACCCTGCGTCCCATGACGACGCGTTCCAGTTTCCCAGCAACGAATACCTCCACCACCCATGGCGACCTTGATCACCTCTCGCAGAATCTATTTCGAGCATCGTCACCAGTCTTCATGTCAATCCAGAATTGCCATTTAATGTCGCTGTACTTGGAGTCTGATGACCATGGCTGACGTGTTTCTATTTTCAGCAAATCGACGACACTGTCGGCGTCATGAGGGATAACATCAACAAGGTGTCCCAACGTGGCGAGCGTCTTGATGCGCTGCAAGACAAGACGGACAACCTGGCCGTGTCAGCCCAGGGCTTCCGCCGCGGTGCCAACCGCGTTCGCAAGCAGATGTGGTGGAAGGATATGAAGATGCGCATGTGCCTCATCGTCGGTGTCATCATTCTTCTCCTCATCATCATCATCCCTACTGGTACGTCAATTGTACTCTCCCGCGCTTCTGGAAGCAGCCAACTGACACTGTTCTCCTCGCAGTCATTGCGACCAAATAAGCTGCCTTCCCCAGGTCGCAGTTCTCCCTTGAGGGGGGTTGCAAAGCTTCTCACGACACGATTACGACACGGCCGATCCACCTCGCGACCTCCGAGCTAGGCGGAGACACCAGCGCTCGGTGGAGGAATTGGAAACGGAGGCGCAGATGCAGGTGGCTGGCCACGCCACAGTCAAGGGAACGAGACTTGTTTTTTTTTTCTTTTTGAGCGACACAGTTTGTGTTTGTCTGAGTACCAACACGTTGTCTTTATTGGCGATCCTATAGTGCATGGCTCTCGTAAGAGATGCAGACGAGACCAAGAGCTAGGTGTCTGCTATCTCACGACCAACGAGGGCTATGACTTCGGGACCAACCGAATGTGTATGAATGGTGACGGCGTTCCCCCGACTAATTGACATGTGTCTCTGACCGCGGAATGTTACCTCTGGCTGGAGTGCAGATGTATTGTACGAGACGAGCTCGAATCGTGTGCAACCGTAGCTCCGAGGGTGCGGGTGGTTGTGTGACTGCTTGTGAGCACTTGTTGGACAGGATGCTCCTCGTCATCACTCGCCGTACGCCGTATGTGTCAGATTGATCACACGTGAAGTACGCTTTGAGGTGGGCATATTTGTATGGCGAATGGGTCGACGCATCCCACGGAATTGAGAGGACCCGTCATCGTGCCTTATCAGATCTTTGAGCCAGCCAGTGTTGTCGGCGATCCGAGCCACTATTAGGGTGGGCTCCTCTCCTGTCCCACACAGTCCACACCCGGGATATCTTCTGGCTGTTCAGGTCGTGGGGCAATGAGGCGGGCCAGGTCTGCAAGGCACGCAGTTTATTTTTCTTATTTATGTTTCATTGCAAAATCAATCAGATGCACCTGGAGTTTGTCAAGATGCCATTGCAAGGTGCTGGCTGCTACGGTCAATGTACGAGACCGCCCGCCCTACAATAAGCCAGCGAACTACATGTACATGTAGGCGCCCTGGATCCTGCGGCCACCTGCTGGCAAGCTTTCAACGTCTGCCGGCATCACATGGGCGTGTAGCATTCCCACTGCACTCTAATATTCAACTTGATTGCCGTCTCAGTCCCTCCTCCTTCCGGGAATCGAGCCGTTGACGGATCGAGCTTAATGCTGCGGTGCGTGGTGGAAACTTGGCGAGCCAAAACGAGAGCAGGATACTGCGGCCATCATAGCTTTTTCCTGCCCTGGTCGTGCTAGCATGTGGCTTCATTGAGCAGAAGGCACCAGTGTAGCGATAAGAGGTTGGAAGGCGTGGGCCAGGCGCGCAAAAGCGGTGAGGCTATGGGATTGGCCGGCATCGGGCAAGCGCATCCCACTTGAAGCGGTTTCGGTCAATTTTTTCCTTCCTGCTGCCAGTGTCAGTGGTCCTGGACTGTACCTGCTGGTGGTGAGAGCCCCAATTGCCGGCTATGACTCCACTGGCCAATTGGTGCCCCTCACTCTCCTCCAAGGCACAAACCCGCAGGGACCACCCACTACAGCATCATACCTTGCCTGCCCGGGTAAGGTAGATACCCTGCACTGACATCGATCAACACTACTTGGGGGGTCACTGGTCGTCTTCTTTTCTACACCCACCTCTGCTGTTCCGAGTCTCTTCCCTCGCCGAATGCCCTTTGCACACCTCCATTCGTAACGCTTCGCCCTGTCCTGTTTGACCAGGCATTGATCCGACCGGTGCTATTAGCCAGGGAGAGACGATTGCTGGTTCCTGCTATCTACGACCCGACGCATCTCGTGTGATTCACATCTAGGCCACTCGGTAGGTAACGTACCTTCCGCAAGGATGCGCTTCGTCTTCCCGCCCATTGCACCCGATCAGCAGCCCATTGAATTACTGGTTCACGATTGTACGGCTTACTGATGCTTCTCGCCAGTCACGATGTTCTCAGCAGGTTCTGCCATTATTAGGGCCGGCGCCCGCCAAGCCGTACCTCGGATCCGACACCGACAAACCCTTCCAGGCCTCGTCCACGGCAACCAGGCCCTCTCCCTCGCCGGTGTCCGCGCTCTGTCGACCACTGAGATCCAGAACAAGCAGGCTACCAGCGACCGCACTCGTGCTATCATCATTAGGACGCTGAGCCAGATCGGCAGCCGACGTGAGGGACAGCAATACCTCTCGTACTTTACCTCCGTCTCTTCGCAAAAGTTCGCCGTCATCAAGGTCGGCGGTGCTATTCTTACCGACTACCTCGATGAGCTCTGCGAGAACATTGCCTTCCTGTACGAGGTCGGCCTGTATCCCGTTATTGTTCATGGCGCCGGTCCCCAGCTCAACCGCCTTCTCGAGGAGGCTGGTGTCGAGCCCGAGTTTGAGGAGGGCATTCGCGTCACCAACCCCAAGACTTTGACCGTTGCTCGCAAGCTCTTCCTCGAGGAGAACATGAAGCTGGTCGAGAAGCTCGAGAGCCTCGGCGTCCGCACTCGCCCTCTGACCTGGACCCTGACCGCCGACTACCTCGACAAGGAGAAGTGGAATCTCGTTGGCAAGATCACCGAGGTCAAGAAGGAGCCTATCGAGCAAGCCATTTCGCACGGCTACGTGCCTATCCTGACCTCCATGGCGGAGACCCCCGAGGGTCAGATCCTGAACGTCAACGCCGACGTTGCTGCGGCCGAGCTCGCCAGGGCGCTCGAGCCCCTGAAGGTTGTCTATCTCTCCGAGAAGGGCGGCCTCTTCAACGGCGAGTCGGGTGACAAGATCTCGCACATCAACCTGGATGAGGAGTATGACTACCTCATGTCTCAGTCGTGGTGCCGTTACGGAACGCGCCTCAAGATCAAGGAGATCAAGGAGCTGCTGGAGACCTTGCCCCGCACCTCGAGCGTCGCCATCATCCACCCCAGCGACCTGCAGAAGGAACTCTTCACCGATTCCGGTGCCGGTACTCTTATCCGCAGGGGCGACAAGATTGAGGTTGCCGACAGCATCTCGCAGATCAGCGATCTCGCCAAGGTTAAGGAGTGTCTCATCAGGGACCGTGAGGGCATGGATGCCGAGGCTACCGTCGATCGGTACATTGACTTCTTGAAGGACACCCCCTTCAAGGCGTACTACGATGAGCCTTACAACTGCATGGCCATTGTCCTGCCCCCCGGCAAGGATCGTTCGCACGCCACTCTGGCCACCCTGTCGGTAACCAAGGAGGGCTGGCTCAGCAATGTGACGGAGAATGTGTTCAACGCTATCAAGAAGGATCACCCCAAGATGGTTTGGACTGTCAGCGAGGAGGACGAGAACCTCACCTGGTTCTTCGGCAAGTGCGACGGCAGCTTCGTCAACAAGGGCGACGTTCTCTTCTGGTACGGCGTCGACGACTTCCAGGAGCTCGGCGCGTTGACGGAAGAGTTCAACGCTGTTGGCCGGGCCATGCTGGGCGACTCGAACCTCGAGTCCCGCCTGCGCCGCGCCGCGCAAACGTCCAACAGCAACCTGGCGTCGCACGCTGCGTCGTCTCGTTAAAGCTCTTGCCATGGCCCGCAGACAGCAGTGGCCACCATCGTAGCGGGTTTTGGGGCTGAAGCATCGGCCAGGCGCACTGGTAGCACGACTATGAAGCCCAGAACCCCCGAAGCTGGATGAACGCCTTCAACGGTGTGTTCCCATGCGTGCCAGGCCCACGACCGACCTGGGGCTATACAGACGAAAGTTGGAGGACAGGGATATGACTGCCATTCAGACAAGCTTGGCCGAGCACCAGCACTCAAACTATCCGTATCAGGCACCCTCCGTCCGGGAACCCGGTGTTGGTTAGTTCGGCATTCAAGCCAGCGGTGCGTTGCACGATGCTCAAGATAGGTTGCTCTCCTCTGCGCAGGGCTTGTGCTGTAGACTCTTCGACCTTGATTGGGTTGGTGGTTTGGAAGGATTCCTTGGGAGGTGGGCAGGGTTTTTTTTCACGGCGAGCCCCTGATTTGATGCCTCTTTTCACTTGCGTTTGTCGTTGTCCTTGGGGGTTCCCCTTTTCGATCTGGTTGTATATATGGCGTAAGAGGTACCTACTGAGGAGAATTTGACTCGAATCGCAATGGACATGGACTTGATGCGTGACGAAAGAAGCACCGCGAAATGCTTCTGACGCTGACCATGATGCTCAGTATCTTTAGCGGGGAGACCCACGGCCAAGTCGAGGCGGCTGCTGAGTCACTGGAACGGAAGCCGGGGCACAGACAGAGGGATCACCGACACTGAGGGATCGACGAACCGAGCCCCCGCGCCCGACGAACGCTACCTTGACCTGCCGATTGAACTGCTCGGCAACGTGGGCTCGGGCAGCTACTCGATGAACTGCTGATCTGCCGGGGCGTTCGCTTGGAGATGGGGAAGAAGCATTCTCGTCAAGCGGGCAGCCATGCAGCTGTTGCTGTGAAGCCCGAGCACCTTCGGAAAGATGACCATGCGTGTTTCCATTGCCTACAAGATCTGAAGCGCGTTTCAACACCATCCCAGCTTCCGATTGGATATTTTCATGCCAAAGCACATGACCGGAGTCGAACGAGTGGATCCTGGTGTCAACGAAGAATACCTTTCGAGAAGGATCTCAACCTTGGCCGAAGCGCAAGCGCGCAGCCAAGAGAAACAAGAAACTTGCTGTCATAGGCAGTGCTTGTTGCCATTGGCACGAGAGAGTTTCGCCCTTTCACCACGGAAACGACCTGCGGTCCATCCTATCTTCTCTTGCCCCTTGGCTGGGGATGAGAGAGGTTGGTTATAGCTGAGGGTGAAGCTTGGCGGGCCCTGGAAAAATGGTCATGGGTGCGCGACCTTTTAGTACTCGGCCGTCAGCTGCGCCTCGGCTCCCCTGTGCGCCTGTTGTTCCTTGTGCGCCAGTCCGTCTGCAATGGGAAATGGCGCGGGGCGCATCTACTTGGGACGTCAAAGAATGAACGGGGACAAGAGGGCGGGGGGCATCATAGACTGGTTTTGAAGAGGGCTCGTGGCACGCTGCGAGTTGCAAAGTCGTTCAGATGCCCAGGACGGA